GATCTCAGCATTCGTGTCATACAAGATGTCCTAATACTCTTCCATTCCCTCTAGTAATGCCCTTGTTACTGTGTGTATCTCACGTCACTACACAGAAGGCTGCACAACGACGTGATGCCCACAGCTGATGAAAGCGCCCGCTATCTTATCAGCGTTAGGAAAGACTAATATGTACAATGGACATTTTTAGACACGTTTCCACTTTCCCTTTTGGAATAATGGTGGGAATTAGCACATACAGCTGATATATAATGTATGATCTGCTTCTGCGGTATTTGTGTATTGGTGTATTAATGGATGTGGTGCCCTCCTCAACATGGCAAAGGATTATTGTTGTTTAAAAGGTAAATATTTTAATTGTTTGATATCTCAGCTGGTGAAGGACTAAACCCCGTGTTGGTAGGACATAGTTACACTGTAATAACACTTTCTGAGTTCTGGGTACATTTAGCGGCAGTCATCATTAAGACATGATTATAAAGTTCTTCGCTAGCTTGTTTTATCACAGGATGAGAAATAAAGCACACAGTATACAGCAATATAGTGGCTTTGCTGGTCTGGCCACCGTTCAGATACCAGTTATTTCTTATTTGAATTTGCATTTAAAGACTTACAACAAGGCCGTGCTCAGAGAATGAGAGACTCACATGTTCCTTCTCTGGAAGCAGCAATCCCAATAATCATTTCTACTCCCTCCAATGGGTGAGAGCAATAAAAGTGACCTTTATTAGTACTGTGAACACGATAATAGCTATGGATAATAAACATTCCTTATAATACACGCTTTCATTTATTAGTGTATATTTCTAGCACTATTTACACATTTGTTGAAATGATTTAATGCTCACATTTAATTGTTGTAAAGATTAAATATTTCTAAATTGCACTTGTAACAGATACCTTGTTCCTGGAGTTTAATTTTGCTTTGCCTGGATCGGTATATGAATCTAACTGAACATAATTGCCCAGCTGGTTAGTATACCGAATAATATACCAAACACTTGGATCACCCAGAGCAGTCATATGCCGCTAATTGACCCACTTGACCTTACTAACGCTTGCTTTAACCACAACACTTAAATGTTCTAAGTGGGTCACTGAGAGGCCGTCATTCGTATGTACGAACACGAGGCGGCGGCCATCTTGTTTCGTCGAACACCTCCAGCGGTGTTTGGTCATCAAGTGCATGGAACTATTTTTGGACACTTAACGACCCGAACACCGCTGAGACTTCCAGGATCACCTATGTTGGTTCCAAGTCATCCGAAGGAGGCGGCGTTTGGTGAAAACCAACTCCTGAACGAGGAGCACATGACTAGCTTTCTCACTAACAGTTATTTGTGATTGTGACGAGATCAATCTCGCCACATTGCCTTGGAGAAGCCTGGTTGCTCGCCTGCTGCCTTTGGACTATGGCCCCATGTTAAAAGACATCTTTTTTCCCTGCAGAAAAGACTTATTCGTGATTTTCTGCCTGGTGTTCCGTAGATTCAGTCTACCGAACAACCGCACGAATGACTGGACCACCTGAGAGCTGGAGTGTGCCGGCAATTAGCCTCCCTGAAGCTGCGGTTAACCGCTGCTTAATTGACAAATGCAGGGTGGCCGCCATTCGTATCACGAACACGAGGTCGTGGCCATTTTATACATGAGAACGCACAGCGGTGTTTGACGCTTAATTCATGGAACTAAAGTCGGACACAGTTTTGCCGAACATCGCTGAAGCCGCCGACCTCCCCTTCTTGTTTGGTGAAAGGGCACGAACGGCCCGGTGTTCGGTAGTTTTACTTGAAATGTTATACCCCAGATAGGAATCCCATGGAGCCCATTCGCATGAGAACTGACTGTGTAAAGACTTTGGCTCCATGGCGATTAAACTGTATTCGTGTGGTCTGAGCGCCATTCGCTTAATAGTGTGCGCTCAGACCTGAGCTATCTGGGGACATGTTAAATGTATAGTTTTATTGTAATGTGTCTTACATAGTGTATTTTAACAGTAATTCTTGTTTTAGTATCCCCACGTGCATAATGGCGATTTGCCTTTGTCTTGGGAGATAATTTAATTACTTCTCAATTATCTCCAAGGCAGAGGGGAGGAAGCCAGGATGCATTGTGGGAATATAATGTGACTGTGTGTCCTATTTGTCTACTTGTCTATCTTTTGTCACAGTCTCCCATTTGGTCCACTAAGGGAGTGTCCACCAGGTGGGAGACCTGCATAAATACTGGGCAGGTAGCCCTCATTAAACAGAACACTGCCTTGTCTCGTCTTTGGGGGGATTTACTGAATGCTGATAGAGACTGATTGCTAGGAGTGCAAGCCGCTTGGGTGCTTTTCCTTTTCATCTGCTAGCAGCTATTCGTATGGTTCCAGTTCGTGAGTTTGGAGTGTTATATCGTATGCCGTTCGGGAGTTTGGAGCATTCCCTTACATGCGGTTCGTGAGTTTGGTTTTCTACGGTAGCTGTGCCTGCATCTCTGAAAGGGGACGATCGCCTAAACGGTTTTAACCCCTTGTGTGCAAAACGGTCCGTTACAATTGGTGGCAAGCGGCGGGATCGTTACCACAGACAAAAGGACAGCTACAGACGACACCATTCCGTGGATTTTACAATTTAAGGGCAACGCATGTCCCAGTACAGCGACCCTGACAGCACCGAGATGGAACCAGCAGTGGAGTACCATGAGGGTGTCATGGATGACCGAGATGCGCTGCGCAAAGGCATCTGGTACCAGGCACTGGGCATTGTGGAGTACCAGCGGGGCGAGAGACTCCCCAAGGAAGACCAGCGACTGCAGAAGCGAGTAGCCCTGCGGATGCCCTTTCTGGGAGAGCAGCCCTTGGATGAATGGGTGAAGGAATTGGCGCTCCGAGTATGGCAGGAGATTTGGCTTGAAGATGCCTACCAGGTGCTCTGGTGGTATGGAGCACAGTACCTGCCCTGGACAGCCGAGCATGACAAGCCAGAGGGAGAGGAGTTTGATGGTCCTGGCTTGTTATGGGAGTCTTTTGCAGAGCCTGAGTTTGGGAGCCCTACA